TACGTCTGTTTTGTACTTTTGTCATACTGTGTTTCCTGGTGTGTTATTGGGGGAAAAAATATCAGCTACAGTAAAGATCAGCAACTCCCTGATTTCTGTATCGCTTCATAATGTGGAGGACTCCTGGGGGCTCCTGAGGGTCGGGGAAACCTGAAGCTGTGGGTAATACGGCCCTGGATTGCGGTGAACCTTAAACATGTCAGGCTGTTTAATGTGAATCAGCTCCTGCTCTGTTTACCATTGAACGGCCGGTGGTAGCAGAATGTCTGCGCTGCACCGCAGTTTAGGAATCATTTATGCCAAACTATGAATGGACCTTGAAGCAGCAGTAAACCCTCGGTCAGCCTGTAAAGCAGCTGGATTAGCCCGCTGCTGTTTCATTTCGCAGCGGGTCCTCACAGAGACAGCAGAGCGCGGACAAACACGCAGAGGGGAGGGGGAGCTGCTGCCTTTGCGGAAGCCAGTGGAGAGCCGAGGCGGCGCTAAATCAAATTACCATACTAACTAGTTCTCTGTGCGCCGATGTGAGGGGAACAGCCTGAAGAAAAGCCTCCGTTTTAAAGTCAAGACACCTACGAGTCCGGCCTCATTTTGTTGGGATCTTCCTGCCGTCCGCCTGCAGAGGAGATGGGGGACAAGGCGGGCACCAGGTAGGACGGCTAGGCTATAAACGGCTAGCTGCGGGTTAGCGTCGGTTCTCACGCACTTCGCTAGCAGCCGTGCTAGTGGCCCAGGCGGAGGAGTTTCTCCTCTCAGCCCGAGCATCAGAGATTTACCCGCTTAATTAGCTAGACCCGGGCCGAGACCAGCGAGCGAGCCCTCTGGTTCTGGTCCGGAGCTCTCAGAGCGATGACCTCGTTCGCAGGAGGCGAAGTTAGCACAGCAGGGTGGGGTTAGCTATCCGCGGCTGTGGTGGAAGGGACGGCGTTCCAGCGTCCGCTCAGAAATCTGTCAATTTTCAACATCCCGCTAACGTTTCCGTTTGACTGAAAATCACACCAAAAATGATCAACTGTTAATGCCCACCGCTTAATCTAGCACAAAGGAAAAAAATCGGCACCATATTCGTGTAATTCTACACCACATTTGGGTGTTTTAAAGAGGAATTCCCACGGTGTTTGTCCAGTAAAAGACCGCTGAAACCTTAGTGGGCGGTATCGACATGTAACCCGAAAAACAGCATTTTAACTCGAGATTTGTTTAAATTATGGAGGTTTTTGTTGTTCGATTCAGTTCCTATGTTTACAGTCAGCTTTTATGAAACGTGAAATATTAGAGTGTTGTTTATCCTCGTTAACCAGGGGCGAAATGTTAAAATGAAGTGTTTTTGAATGGAATTTGGTACGAAGGAGCGTATTGGTGGGCTATTTAGGTTCGCTTACCTCCATCACGGGCTTATTTTGGGTTTCTGGTACCGCAGGTTCATGCCAGTTAGCTGTAAATGTGTTTTAAAGAGGGTGGAGGTTTCGTTTTCGGACATTTGTGAGTTCTGGTTCCTGTTTCGGGCCGATCTGCTCGGTGTGTAGGCACAGCACAACGACACAAAGTGATTGTGGTTTCTATGAAGCTCAGGATGCCCCCCTTCCCTTTTTGTGTGTTTACACCCCCAGTTAATTGGGTTAGCACTGCTGTGGATCAGCGCTCCTTCCCGTGTTTTCGCCTTTATTCCTTCTTCTGCAGATTCCGACTAACAGAAGAGACCCAGAGGGTTTAACTGCATTAATCCAACACACAAAAATAAGACTAATGATGAGGAATAACTGTTGTGTTTTTGTGCAGCTCATCAGATCCCGTCCTGTTGTAATGTGACAGGAACACAGGGCCTTTAAAGTCAGGTTCAGCTCTTCCCTTTACTCCAGCACATGTAAGCTGCTGAAAATGACATTAAAGTGCTGACTGCTTCAGGCTGTTTACATCCACATCCTGCCTGTTTCTCCTCTGTGAGGTCGAGGTTTGTTGGATGTACAGCTTTCATGCACACGCAAATGATCCGTTTCCTCATGTGTAGCAGCTTTTTGCTATAAAATGCTGATCATCGCCGCTGTTTTTGATGGATTTTCCTCTAACTGGAGGGGGGCGAGTCAGCCCAGCCCATTCCACTTGCAACTTAACTTTCTTTCCTGCCAGTTACTTCCTGTTAGGAAGCAGGTGGAAAACTGGGAGGAGAGGAAACGGGCAGGAGGAAAGACCAACGTCATAGCTGTTGAAGAAAAGCTCTCACTGACATTCACGCTCGAGCTGCTGTTAACAGATTATACATCGAAGCTGCACGTCGAGTGGCTCTGTGGCACTTTGACTGTTTGCAAAACACCAGCCAGCAGTGGAAAGTTTTTCTCTTTGACCTTTCACCTTTTGTACTGACAGCTGTGAAGCTTCTCTCCTCGAGTTTTGTACGACTAGATTAGTAAGTGTGGCTGCGAGGTGTAGCGGCGAGCCCAGCTAGAACCAATCACATCCTGATATTTTGTCTGTGTGTTACATTAAAGACAGAACGGCGTCTCCTTCAGAGAAACTGTTGTTTCACGCTTTGCTTCCAGTTGTTTACCGTGTCAGGCTTTGCACAGCTAAAAGAATCCGTTTTAATTGGCTGTTGTATTGAGATCATCTTCATCACCTGTGTCAGGGACGTGAAGCCGTCACGCTTTACCAGACTCATTCACAAAAACAGCAATTTTATGTCACAAAACACGTGAGCGGCTTGTTTACAGCTCGCTCAGCTGCTTGCTTCTTGCTGCTGCATGACTTTGGTGTTCCTAATGTATTTAGTCATGTCGGAAATGGTGCGTTGCATAAACTCGACCCTGTTTTCATGTAAGAGTCGCTGGTTTTGTAAGAGGAGTCTGGTGGCTCCTGCAGATCAACAAATGACACTGACTTTGTCCCTTGTTGCCACATTTTGTGTGTAAACAGGTTGGCGTGCTCTCAAAGCTGCAGCTGTCTTTGTGCTCAACGTGAAGTTTAGATATCTGGAATTCTTGTCACAGCTCAAACTTCTAATTATTATTATTCATGTCTGGTTGTTGTTTTTATTAGTATCAAACATGGCTGACCCAGCCCTGACCCTCCTCATGCTGCAGACACACAGATGAAAGTAGCAGTGTGTGTTTGCTCTGCATGCAAATGCAAGCAAATCATTTCTTTTTGAAAAAAAAAAAAAAGTGGTTGTGTTATTTTTAGCTGGAAACAAACAGTGATGCACTTCCTGTTCTTCAGCCTGCTTTTAATTTGTACAAACGTACGAAACACCGACCAGGTGTGAAATGTCGTACGTCAGCTGGAGATGTTCATGCGGCCAGAAATCGAATTCAAAACCAACTAATGTATACACGAGCCGCAGGTTTCTTACTCAGGGCGTCAGACTGTGTGAAGCTTTAACATGTGACCTCAAAGTTGGTTCGTTCAGAGCGCCGCTAAGTACACCAATGTTTTCAGGGTAAATGTTAAAAAGGACCAAAAAGTCCATTTTGAGCTGCCAATGATAAAAGCTGATCAGAAATATCAGGAAATGAAGAATAGCTGTAACGCTTACATCCCATATGGCTTTTTAAAGCTCTGCTTCTTTCTCCAGGCGTAAATATTTAATGGGAGACATAATTGTAATATTTATTTATTCATTCTTCCTGCGGCCTAAAGCTCCAACATCGGAGCGACGCTGATCGATTTCAGATTAATCAGAATAAAAGTTGGGTTTTTTTAGAAGTAATGAAGAAAAATAAGCTGTGACTGTTTCAGGCTTTAGTGTCCAAATGATAAATTTTTAATTCATTTTATAAACAATAAAATGATTCTTGTGTCACATAAACATGATTTTGATGATAAAAGTAACTGTTAGCTGCAGAGCTGATTGAGCGCTGAGGGATGCAAACAGCAGATACTGCAGTACTTTTTCCTGCTGTAGTAACAGGAGTAACTGATGCTGCATCAGGACATTTAAATGAATCCTCAACACAAAGCTCAGATATTCACTTTATTGTTGAATATTTTTTGACAAAAACATCAAATCTGACTCTCAGAAAATGACACAGACGGTTTGTTGTGTTGGCGTTTGTGTGTCTGTAGTTTAACACCAGCCTCAGCCTCCCTTTCATCACTTTTCTCCCTCATTCTGCACTCATTTGAGTTTTTCTAGGAGCAGTTGTTCGACTAATTGGCTGATTACTAATGAAAACAGTTGCAAAAGCGCCCACAGTTTAATCATTTAATCTGAATCAGCAGTTTGAAAGAGGAAGAAAACAGCCTGAAGATGAACGTCGAGTTTGACTCTTGCAGAATAAACTTCCTGGTTCTTCGCTCAGCTGCAGAGTTTCAAATGTAACTTTCAGCCTGTTTCGTTGCTCCGGTGGTCGGACCAGTCCGACTCCTGTTTATCTGCAGCTTCATCGTTACAGACTGAAGGCATCGGCCTGACAGGAAGGGCGGGCTGAACTGCCACAATAAGAGCCTGCTCGTGCGCTTTGTTCCTGGGATTATTTCTGCTGCCACTAAACTGTGTTTGTTGGGTTTAAATCCAGAGGAAGGTAGCATGCATGTGAAGGCAGGCGGCCCTGAAACACGAGTGTCTGTGGGCGGCAGGCGCTGCAGAGGAAGTGCAGCGACGGTGGCGTCCGGCAAACATGAGGAAGTTTTGTCAGAGTGTGAAACGCAGCGAGCATCACGCTCCTGCTGCTCTCAGTGTTTGGCTAATAAACAGCTCTGCACGAGACGCCGCCGCTCACTCAACTGTGACCGAGAGGAAACCCGGTTTCCTCGTGTTGCGGTCCGACCTGCTTCCTGTCCTCCACCTGCTTGTACAGGTGCTGCAGCGGCTGAGTTCATGCTCGCGATTTAAAAAAGTCGCCTAAATTATGGAGCATGAATTTGAATTTGTGGAGCTTTTTAAAGCTGCTCAATTTGGTTTGCAGTCCTTTCCCATCCCAGGAGCTCTCTGCTGATGCTGAGCCTCCTCCAGCATGGTGCAGCGCCATGCTGGAGATCATCAGATGAAGATGTAGGATTCATGGCTGCAGACTCGCAGCTCGGTGCACGGAGCCGTTCTGAAGCTCCGAGTGTTCTCCGGTTACAAACAATTAAGAAGAAAATCTGCACTCAGACTCTTCAAATCATCTGAAATGTTTTTAACACCAGCAGCTGGGTAACACGATCCCGTTGTCACATGGCAACAGTTCATGTTCAGACATGAAGCTTCACGTCAGCTGTTTGAGCGAGCGCCGTCCCTGCAGACCTGCTCGCTGCGGCGTTCTCCTGTTTACGGGATCTCTTTCCCTCGCCGCCAGCTTCAGCCTCACGTCGTCTTATCATCCGCTGCTGCTTCTCTCTGTTTGTGACACACATACAAATCAGAGTGTTTGAGTTTTGGGGCCACAGGAAGTCTCGCTGATGGGTTTGAAGCTTTGCTGAAACATCTGAGTGTTCATACGTGCCCCTCATCCTCCTGATTTATTAATCACACCAAAAGTGAGGTTTTTTATTTCCTGTTCAGATTAAACACGAGCTCGGTGTCTGCAGCACGCTAAACACAGTTTGTTTTTTTTCTACTCTGGGATCTGTATGATGTCACAGAGAAGCACAGAAGCCCCACCCACTGTCCAAAGCATCTGTTTATGCTTGGAGCCAGGAGGAAGGGGGTTGTTTGCCCCTCAGCTGGCTTCCAGAAGTTAACCAGTCAGATGAAAGCTTGTTGGAGGGTGAAGTAAAGGGACTGCAGCGGCTCAGAGTAAAGAGGAAGGATTATTTCTGAACGGTGACTCATGTAAAACTGCTCTGGTCCCAGAATAAAAACATGGAAACGAGCCACAGAGGTTCCCTTTGCCTCGTTCAGCCACAATAAGAACCAGCAGTTTGAAATGAAACCAACATGTCTTCCAGAATGTAACCATTCCCACTGACTGCAAGAATAATAAATAATATGAAGGTGCCTAAATGATGAAGAGCACAGAATAAAAATGCAGCGTCGCTCAGCTGAAGCCCGACTCCGTGATGGACGAGTGTTTCTGCTCAGCCTGGACACAAACACCGTCGCTGTAACGTCGTCAGTCCAGGAAGCATTTCAGGACCAGACGTGTTTATATCTGCGCAGCAGGGCCCTTCATCACCTCAGATTTAACGTTGGAGTCGAGAACAAAACAGGCCTGCTGTTCGTTAAGGTTAGCAGCTCAGAGGGACGTTTACGGCTTCGTCCTGCGGCGTTCATCAGTGCGAGGACTCGAGCGAGTTTCTCCTCCTAGTTAAAATACGGCTCCATAACACAGTCAAACCACAAGCCCACCATCTGCTCCTCAGCAGGCTTCCAGAAGCTGACCAATTAGAAGAAAGAATGATGCAGGGTCTTACAAGTTATCCAATTCTGATAACTCGCTGATGGGCGAGCAATGAGCGGCCATGGCGCTGAAAGGTGCCGTGGTCCCAGAGGTCCACTGTGTGCTTCAGCTGACACACAAACTCAGAGTTTAAGGTGGAATTAAAGGTAACGGCAGCGAGCTGAAATTAGCAGCAGCTAAAATAAGTCGATGAGCTCCAGCCGAGCTGCTGTGATTCGTAATGGTTCGAGAGGCGCTGGCAGGCTGCTGCCATCATTGTGGTGTGATCTGGCAGCCCTGTGGGCCTCTCTGCAAGGTGCTGATAACTGGTGTTGGCACAAAGTTTGGAAACGTGCTCTCAGATAATTGGGATGGAGGGTGACCCACTTAGCTCCGGCGTGTTCCTCCTGCTTTTAGTTTGTTTTCACAAAAATGCTCCTGAAAAGAAACAAAACGTCTTCATTGATTTCATATCTGACTGAACAAAATAACTTTATTAATAAGAAGCAGCAGATGTGACAACTTAGACTCGTCAGCAGTCCAAAAACCATCCGTGTCTTTAGACAGTCGTGTGTGCAGCGGCACGACAAACGCACACTTTAGTCTTGTTTTGTTGTGCTTCTACACACTGACCTCATTATTGGGGACTGTGGCCACCAACATTCACCAATGGGAGCAGGAAACACGTGACCGGATGCAGGTCCATTATAGTCATCACACCCTGCCATGTCTGCCTCTTCCTCTGCAGCGTCTGCGTCTCGTCGAGTCGTCGTTCCTGAAAATGAAATCAGATTTCTTTGGGCTGGATGTGCCGAGGTGCCGACACAGGTGGACGTGTGAGCCGCTGCACCGTGGAGCCGTGTTGTTTGCCTTGGCTCCACCTGTTTCCTGTTTGAAGTGTAGAATAATCAGTTGATTCTGGCCTGAAAGAGCGAGCGACTTGGACCGTTTTGTTCTGAGCAGTCGAGCTTCATGTTCAGCAGGTTTGTGTAAATATCAGGAGAAAGAAATGCATCAATCACCAGGTTTAGGCTACGATTAGTAAACAGTCTCAATTAGTGAATCTCGCAGAAACAGCTGATGTCTCTGACCTGGGATAACTTTCTGTGCATGAATGAGCAAAATGACCACAGCGACTCTAATTTATTCATAAACCTTTTAAACGTTTTCTTCAACTCTGTTAAATAAAATAGTTTCTGGATTATTAGTCTGACATCAGTCGGTCTGGCTTTGAGAAGCTGTGACCATCCTCTGCTGTGGTGTTTGAGGGTAATCAATAAAGAAAATGATTGCTGTTATCGGCCCTAATTAGGAAGCAGATCTGGAACGGCGTGGCCTGAAGAGGCGTGGAGCTGAGCCGTGCGTGCGGTTCATGTCTGCAGCTCATTACGACGTGTTTTTGTTCTCTTTGGATTCAAAGCTGCAGATTAAAAAACACCACAGTCGTAAATAAGCCTCGAGCGCCAAAAAAGAGCCGCAGAAACCTGTAAATCAGTTTTAATTCATGCTTTGAAGTGATCTAAATTTAACCCGAGTGTGGAAAGCATCGGCGGCTGTGACAGGAAGCAGGACAGCAGCGCCTCGTCCTGGCAGAGGATAGTGTCTGAGGTGGCGAGGGCCTGGAGGAAGTGATCGTTTCATACAGATGCTGAGAGCCTTGGCGCTTCCTCACACAGCTGCTGGACTGTGGTCATGTTTGGTTTTCCAGGCCTTAAAATGAGTTCAGCTTTCCAAGGTGTGTCGGCACCTGTGGTGGTTTTTCATCACATGACTAGACTGAAAAGACTCCAAACGGCCATCAGCCACAGAGGCCACGCCCCTAATTTACAAACTGGATGCAGTTAAAAAAAATGAGTCTAAAAACATTTACCTGCAGTTGTTATGATGGAGAAAATGAAAAGTTAGAGATTTTAAGACATTGTGGGGTCTGACCGAGTTCTGGAGCCTCAAGTGGACATTAAAGGAACTGCAGCGGCGTCCTTTTTCAGCTGACTGATAAAATTCAGCGTAACACACGGGATGTGGCATTTCTGGTTTGCACTGTGGGAGGACACCAGAGTGGGTGGAGCTTCATCACTGTGAGCAGGATGCTTTTGGCACTTTCGTCATTGTCCGAGGTTAAACTTTGGTGCTGCTGCGGTTTGTGTTTGCCGAGCAGAACGAAGACCGCGGTCACAAACTGAAGGGTTAGTCCATCTGTGCTCTCTCTGCAGGTTATTGTCAAAAAAGTCGCGGTTCGCCACAACTTTCAGGGTTTTCCATTAGGTCATAGATCGCTACTTTTTTAGCGATCTGAGCAGGTGGTAAAATGTGATGTCATCAGACTGCAGGCCACCAATTGGCTGGTAAGTAGCCTCACTCAGTGAGCATCAGGTTCACGAAAATCAAAAGCACCATCTTTGAAACCCAATGCTGTGACGACAACCAGACACAGCCAGTAGTGCTGATCGAAGACGGGCTAATGTTTACTCTGGTTTATTGACATCAAACTCGTGGGTCCGAGCTGCGCCTGGGACCGATTTTGGGAGATTCTCTTCTCTCTTCCACCACTTTTTTTTTATATCAGTTGGGAAATGGGCAGTGCGCTGCCACCTTGTGTTCTGGCAGTGAAACTGCAGCCACGCTAAAGCCTCACTCTGCTGTTGCAGTGCATTGAGCTGCGGCTCGTATAGAAAGGTCTGGACTCAGTCCTGGTGTCGTGTGTTCAGCTGCGGCGTGTTTCTGCTGCGGCGTGTTTCTGCTGCGGCGTGTTTCTGCTGCGGCGTGTTTCTGCTGCGGCGTGTTTCTGCTGGTTCAAAGGTTTGTAAAAGTTTCAGTGGCATCGTGCAGGCTTGGACTCGAGTAGTTTAAGTGATCGTGTTGGTTAACATCCACCTGTTTCCCTGGTAAAGCAGTGCGGTGACATCCCATAATAACCCTAGGTCATGTACACTGTTTTTCATCAAAACCACTTCCCCCCACCCCCAACCATCGGTTTCAAACAAGGCCACTGTTTATTTCGACACAGCAGGAAGCTGCCACACTTCCTCGGGTTATTTTTCACAGAATCGTCTCACCCACACGCTCTCGATGAGCTGCAGCAGGTCTGAAAACCTGTTTGAATCCACCGCAGCGCTCTTCGTTTAGCGACAGGATTCAGCCAGAACAAACAAGCTAACATTTTCTTTCTTTCCTCCTCTCTGTCTCCTCTTCCCAAACCTCTCAGAGTTTTCAAGAAGTCGAGCCCCAACTGTAAGGTGAGTCCACGAGTTTGTTCTGCAACATCTGACACTGAGGAAGCATTAGAAACCACTCGTCTCCCTCTGCCTCCTCAAACATGAAGCTGTGTTCATACTGACCCTTCAGATCACAGCGTCTCGAACACCAGAGTAAAAACACAATCATAGAATCAGGGGGATGAAAAGCAAACATACAAACGTGAGATCAGAGAAACGAACTGCCAGAGGGAGCAAACAAGATGAAGCAGACAGAGCAGCTCCACAGTGAAGTCAGATAGTAAACTGGGACGTCACCAGTGTGACCAGTTCATCCAGTTTTAATTTAAATATTTCTTAAGAAGAGAGTCGAGATAAAGATGAATATTCAGTGTTATGCAGTCGTTCCTTTACTGTTGCCTCTAAATTCACTCCCTGTAAGAATGTTTGGTCCAGTGTGGTTAAACACTCGCTCAGATCCTGCTTTACTCTTTTGATATAGTTTCATTTTTCTTTTTTTAAAACTTCCTTCTCTGACATGAGTGTCGATGGAAGTTTAACATGAGCTCACACGCTGCATGTTGTTAGCAGATTGTGTTCTTTTAGGACGTAGATTAGATAGGTGGGAATCACCATACATCCCACGATACGATATTATTGCAATTTTTAAAAATATTTTGCGATATTCAGATTCTGTACATAAAGGTAAACTTTATCAATATTCATTTT